TCCTACTAGTTTGAGACTTTGAACAAACCAGACCTTCATCTATTAATGTAGAAAATAGTCGGCACATTACACCATTATGAAAGTAATAATTAGTTAGCTCATTGTTCAAATGAGCTCCAACTACAACAGTTAAGTCAACTCGTGCATCGGTAATAACAATAAATCAAATGATATAATATAATAGAATAACTTGTGTCTACTTTAAATACTCTAACAACACTTGTTGCTAATTATACTAGCATACTTTTACTAAAGTAACATTAACATGTTTAAATGCAGGGCTTTTGTAAGAGAGTATTTCGTATAGTGTAGCATGGTCTACTTGACTTATCTAACCGAAGTGATCGTTACGTTACTTTGCAAACCGTCCCCCCCCCCCCCGTCCCCCCCCCACACACACACACAAAAGGACACGGTAACGTTGTGATTCACTTCAATTAATGATAATTACGGAGCTTGCTAACAGCAAGGCACAAGGCTACTTCACTCATTTAGCTAATGTAAGATACAAATGCTGTCGAGCCCTCACTGCTTGTAAGATAAAGAGCACAAACTGACTACTTACCCGAGCGGCGAGCCCCGCTGTTCTCCGTCATTTTTCTCCCGGGTTGTTGTGATCACATGACTGACAAAGCCGTGCTCTGATAGGCCAAGTCAGTTTGATTGCATTAGGGCTCGATTGCTTATCCTGTCTGAGCAGCCCGGATGATGCTGCATCGCAATTTTTGACATCGAATTGTATACACCGAATTTTTTGACATCGAATTTTTTGACGTCGAATTTTTGGGATCTGAATTTGAACATTCGAATTTTTTTCACTTGAATTTTTACATTTTTATTTCACATAGGTAAATTCGGAGCAAAAACATTCAGATACATGATTTTCAAAGTAATTATTTTCAATGCTATAAATTCGGTGTCTAATACAATTCGAATACTTCTGTCTCTTGTTTGCTTCCATATAAGACCACATTGGTAATGAAAATGGGATCTTACTAAGAAAGAACAATCAAATATTTAGATTTTTGGTATCCTTTTGTTGAAAGGTCTGTTTAAAATGAATCAAAGCATCAGACTAAAAAAGCTTTTGAAAATAACCGAATATTTCGATTATGGTCAACATATGATATTTGTAAATCTGACTCTGAAAGAGTGCCTCACCAGCCATGAACCTCACCGCACGTCACTGTTCCAACCTGATTAGTCACCTGAAACATCGCCATCGCTACGATGGTGTGTTAAAAGCGTACGAAGACGCCTGCGCTGCTAAACTAGCGGCGAATCCAAAGCCAGCTGCAAAGGCACCGGGGCTTTTACCTATCCACGAGGCTTTTGAAAAAGGCACTTTATTTGGGAAAATAAATATGGTCACTTTGAAGAGTCAAAACTGTTCTTGGCTTTGTTTTGTTCATAGTAGTAATGCTCATGTCATTTGCTCACTACTAGTCTTTTTTTTACCACCAGGTGTGCAAAAACTACAGGTACATTTAATATATATATATATTATATTATTATCGGTTATCGGTGTCGGTCTTGAGAAGCAGGAAGTTATCGGTATCGGTTTCAAAAAACCAATATCGTGCATCCCTAATAACAATGGCCGATTATATTTCTTAAATAATATGTAGCCTATTCCCAGAGCATAACTCATGGGGCAACAAGGTGAGGTGTAAAATGTGTTTTAATATCATACATTTTACGCCAGCAAACTTCTTGTACGGACTTCGGCAGTAGTGAAGACTCACTGAACGAATTAAGTACAAAGACGAATCGTTCGCGAACGTGCAAATCACCAGAAGTCGTTCGCGAACCGGTGAACGAATCAGTGAACGAATCTTTAAAGTGAACTGAATCAAAAGATTCGTGTCCCCGAAGGGAATCGAAATTCCCATCACTACTGCCCAAACTATTCTCACGCCAAAAACAAGAATACCGAAGACTAGAAACGGTTTTGAAAACTTTTGTTAGGTAGTGATCGTCTTCTCAATAGAACATCTTTGATAATGTCTTCTGGCCAATCAGAATCACGATAACGGCGTGGTGTTGTTGCAGGAAGTCCCGACGGAGAATACTAATGCGGTAGTACATCTCTATATACATCGATACAACATTACTTATTATTATTATAGAAATCAACACGTAATGAAATAAGACCCCACAGTTTGATGATTGATAGGTGTGTGGGCTGTCTTCCATTTTGACACACAGAACAATGGGGGCTCACGCTCAGTATCCACCCTTATCCACAATGTAAAGTAATTCACACAGCCTCTTCCCTCTTCTCTCTGTGAGGAGCAGCAGGTTCAGCTTTCAGAACAAAGTAACAAAAAACTAAAATGGCATTCATTTTTTTAAATATGTCGTGTAGTAATACATTTATTTTTCTTCTCAAGAGTACCAGAATGTGTATTTTATGTTAGTATTTCAAAAAATCTCCTGGGGGAGAATCCCCCCAGACCCCCCTGCAGGGGTTGGGTTTTCAGCATGTCAACTCTTTCACCTGTGGAGAGATTGCAGGATTGGCTCCAGGTCGCCCTTTTTATTTACAAGACAAATGTGCCTTTTTATTTCATACAGTTCAATTTGGATTGAGACAGGGAAATAATCTAAACCTCACGCGTGGCGTTTCACTGTCAAGGGGAGCGTGTATGTAATTACATTGCAAATACTGATTTGAGCCCCACCGCTAGAGTGTGTTAATTAATATATTTGGCAGTTTGGAGTAAGTCTGTAGATTTGTTTGTGTGTGTGTGTTTCATGTATAGCTCTCACGATAATTAATTTTGTTGGATACATTTTCTCGGAAATTATTGCGATAAACGATAATATTGTCGGCACCGTTGTATGGCCATTTTAGACCACTGACATAATGATAATATATAATAATAATTCAAGTACATCCTTTCAAACTGCTAGTCACATCCTCATGTAAATGGCAATTTATCGAGTTCATTTTTATGTATCGTACGATAAGTCAATTAATTGCTTATCGCGACAGGCACATAATAAAACAGTGGAAACAAACATGTGTTTGACTTTCATTAGTGAATGAAACTGTGTGCCCTTTATAGTCTGTGTCCAATATTGTGTATTTGTATATATATCCTATATGCTAAGGTCCCGCTGCTGACACGATAGCAGTCATTTCGTGCGCATATGTGTAATTAAACCTATGATATGTAAATCTCACTCCAGCCAGGTACCCAAAGTTGGCAACCCTGGTGTTACGTTAAGTTTAAGCTACCTTAGACTTGGTTTCAAATCGATTAAGCATTGCAAAGAGAAGACAAAACGGTAAATTAACACTAGAGGGCCAAGGGATTCATTTTGACTAACCCCGATACTGACGGGCTGTCAGGAGAGAGAGAGAGGAAAAGAGATGCCTCGTCTATTTCCCCTGTGTTATTATCAGAAGTTACTGAACTTTTGAATAATGTAGTTCTTCTACTTTTAGTAGTTTGTTTAAATGTTTTAATTATGTTGTTTTTGTTTGTAGAAGTGCATCATTCCTTGATTTATTGTAAAATGAATCTGAACTTTTTGATCTGTTATGATGATAAACTGAAGCAATTTCTAAATTAACCCAATTAACTGAGTTTTAAATCGTCCTACTTAGTTTATAAGGAAATTATGAAGAGGAACACATTAAATGATTTGAAAAAGATATCTACAGTATGTAGGTGCTGACGCTGTTGGCGTTTCTAGTGTTAACATACATTTAAATGAAATATAGTAATTGCAAATGCCATGATTTTCTTACCTGGAATTCTGCCTTTTTGAGTCCTAGCTATATTGTCTGCAGTTCTAGGTTTAATATGAATCTAATATGATTGTCATCGGTCTAAATTAGATTTCAAATGATTAACTGTGTATGTAATGAAGATCATAGTGTGGGTTGAATCCATTTTCATAACCAGTCTTTTAACTGATTTAAATGCGGAAACTGGGCTTATTCATCAGAATTTCGTATGACTTGACTTGACCTGAGCAATGACTTGACTTGCTTGACCTGAGCAATGACTTGACTTGCTTGACTCTCACCACAGTGACTTGGGACTTGCTTGATACTTGTAGGTCAAGACTTGAGACTTGCTCATGACTTGCACATGTAGGGCTTACTCCCACCTCTGCTCTTTATACATCCATGGTGTTTCAGGCAGGGAGGAAGACAATAACAATACGGTCTTGTTACAAAAAAAATTCAACAATAAAAACTCATTCACCTAAAGAATATATCTAGGATTAAAAGACTAATGTCACAGCAGGATTTGGAAAAACTTGTCCATGCTTTTATCTTCAGTAGACTCGACTACTGCAATGGTGTCTTCACAGGTCTCACTAAAAAATCTATTAGGAAGCTGCAGCTGATTCAGAACGCTGCTGCTCGAGTCCTCACTAACACTAAGAAAGTGGATCACATCACTCCTGTTCTGAAGTCTTTACACTTGCTTCCTGTGTGTCAAAGAATAGATTTCAAAATACTGCTGCTGGTTTATAAAGCACTGAATGGTTTAGCCCCAAAATACATTTCTGACCTTCTGCTAAATTATGAACCATCCAGATCTCTCAGGTCTTCAGGGACTGGTCAGCTTTCTGTCCCCAGAGTCAGAACTAAACATGGTAAAGCAGCGTTCAGTTATTATGCTCCAAATATCTGGAACAAACTCCCAGAAACCTGCAGGTCCGCTGCAACTCTGACTACTTTTAAATCCAGACTAAAGACTTTTATTTTTGTCGCTGCTTTTAATTGAACTATTCATATCTTAAACTGCACTGTAACTTTTATCCATGTAGTTTTTCTTTTAATGTTTATTTTTTCTTAATGTCTTTCGTTTTTTGTAAAGCACTTTGAATTGCCTTGTGTTGAAAGGTGCTATATAAATAAACTTAATTCATTGTAGAAGCTCTTATCTAAATTGAATTTTTTATTTTTTTTTCATTTCACAAGTATTCTGGTTTCGTTTCTACAGAAGAGGTCAAAAACATCTCGTGGCAAACTCAATGTTTACACAGGCAACTTTTAATACAAAAGAAATATGTAAAAAAACATTTAAAACATATTTTTAAGTTAAAACAAGTCTGTTACAAAGTCCCATCCTACTGAACAAACAACAGCAACTAAACACAAACAACTTGCAGGATGACAAACAAAATATTCGGTACAAAAGAAAATGTCCACTTGAAGAGATGTCTGTCCTATTTCAGTCCTTCACAGGTGATCCGGTCATATTCGTTCGCTGTAGAAAATGTCCTTTTGTAGAGAGGAATTAGTCGGTTTGTTGGAATAGAAAACTCGTCAAGCTGGTGGTGCGTTCAAGAAAGCTGGGAACCAGTCTTTTAACATTCTAATCAATGACAATTCTTAGAGCAGAGTACAGAAAAAAACCCAGTGAATATTTACTTGAAGCTTTTGAACTGATTAAATCTGAGACGATGTATTCAGTTTAAAAGCTGCATTTTACAAATGTACATTCAAGGTCAGAGATTAAATAAAAATATGGCATAGAAAATTGGCATTTGCTCACCTGTAATGTCTTTTTATCTCCTGCACATGTGTAACGATGCAGGGGATTTCCATTAGTGTTTTTCTGACAGGTCAACAGGTAGAGGTTACAGTAAGGTAGTAAAGGTTTTTATTCTGTTTTATAGCAGCTGATTTCGGCTGTGTCAACACAAACAACCACTTATTTTTGGTCCACACTCTGCATACGTCACAAGTTTTTTTTACTGGCCTACAATCAACTTTCTATGACGACATTTTAAGTGCTTTTGCAGTTAATTTTTGGAGATGGGAAGGCCGGTCATATTCTGAGAAAAAAAATCTGAATTTCCAAGAGTTAAGTTGTTAATTTACAAGAAAATCATTAGAGAAAAACGTTTAATTATGCGAGAAGTCAGACACTTGCAAGAAACAACTCAAATGTAATGCTTTGATTTTGTATGATGGGTACTTACTTAAATGGAAGACAATGCTCCCTGTTAAAGTACATGCGATTTGTCACAGAACACCACATTTTTGTATTCTACGCTAAAGGGCGCGTCCGTTTGTGTTAGCGATTTCTGCCAACCTTACCTGGTAGTATCTCCACCAAATAAAAGCAGAAGTGCATACTAAATAAAGTCAAGTCAGTATTTCCGACCTTCCTCCTGTTATCATGTTTCTGAACTTGAGTGACTAAAACATCCAGATTCTTGGACACCGTGATCAGTACCATGACGTTTTCATGATCAGGCATTATGAATAATAAAACTTGGAGCGGCATGCAGAGTGTGGTCACTTCTTTCTTCAGCCTGGCACCTGTCTGTATTCAGGGTGAGCATTTCCCTATCCTCTGTTAACAGACTGGTAGTGTTTGGATTTTTGGAGCAGGTGTGTGAACGTTACGAGCGTAACGTCAGTCAAATCGTCTCTCTACATCCCGTTGAAGCCTCCCCCTCTGTGGCCCCCCCTGAACCTGCTGCTGCCGCCCGGTACTTCAGGATTGTGGAACCCCCCGAGCAGTGGAAGGACCGTTAAGTCCCTGCTGGCTTGTTGGAAGCGCCAGTACAGGGCAGCAGCACCTGGACCCAGGCCACCTGGACCCAGGCCTCCTGGCCAGGCAGGCATGTGCCCTAGGAGGCCACCTCCACCACCAGTCAGGGGGCCTGGCATGGGGGTGAAAGGCTGGTTGGGGAATCGAGGCAGGTTGGTGGTCTGCAGGAGGCTGAAGCCCCCTGGCTGCTGCTGCTGGCTGTGCAGTGGTGGCTGTAGGAATGGTGGAGTCAGATGGAGCGGCAGGTTGTTCAGTTGCTGCAGACGTTGAAGGGGCAGCTGGATCTGTTGTAGACGGGGCAGAGCAGGAGTTGGGATGGGTTAGCCGGTGCTGATGGTTTTTCTCTTTTAAGGGGCAAAGATTAGCATTAGCATGGAGAACTCTGGAATACAAGGACCCTTGGATGAGAGGATGGAAGAGAACAAAATAGACAATGCACTTGGCAGACCAGGTGGTCTACTTGGCTTTATTCAGCAAAATAAAAATGTGCGTACAAAAACAATTATATATATATACAGAGTAAAAACTGTGACTTTGCTGTTCTTTGATTTCATAAGATTTCCCTTTTAAAAGAGTCTGGGACACAAAGCCAATGTCACCCTACCATTTGTAGGGTTACGTGCGCCCTGGACAGTATTTGGCTTTGTGAATTCAACATGTTGAATTGGCCAAAAAGTGTACCCCCAAAAGTCTGTTGGGAAGGGAACTCTCTAATTGTCTTTTCAGCTTAAGCAAGTCAGTGCACAAGAAGAGAAACTGAGGTAAGAAAAACAAAAAATGGGGACAGTCTCTTTTTGATTTCATCCTCATCTCATCTGATCATTCTATATTTCGGTTATTTTCAAATTGACATCTGCAAATCAAGTGAACCGGTGTAAAAATGGTTGGCAAACTGCTTTGTATTAATATCTGTTGCAAAACAAGGGCTTGTACATCTGCATTCTTGGGTGTTCTGGTTTCCCTTTATAAATGATAAATACTGTGTACTAGGGGTGTAACGGTATCCGTATTCGTCCCGTACCGTCACGGTTCGGACGTCACGGTTCGGCACATGGCGAATACGCCTTTTTTTACGAGTGGGAAAAAAGTCTGTCACTCAGGGCAGTATTACACTATATATAATCCAGGGGGCGGTATTGCGCCTAAAAGCCAGCCGCCCGTAAATAACAAATGAAGAACAAGAACAAAACACAACAAAACGAACACAATATATGAAGAAGAACAGTTAGCTATGGCTAGTTCACACAACACACAGGAGCTAGAAGACCCACCTGCTTCTTTTAAATCAGGTGTGTGGGAACATTTCGGGTTCCCTGTGGACTACAACAATGATGGGGTGCGAGTGGTGGATCGGACGAGGACGGTGTGTCGGCGTTGTTCGACAGCGGTGCGGTATGCTAGTGGTAACACGTCAAACATGCTCAATCACATCCGAGTCAGTCTCAGTCCCCAGCGAGAGGGTTTTCTCGACGGCAGGTGACATAGTTACCGCCAACAGATCTGCCCTCACTACTGACAACGTAGACAAACTCATCTTTTTGAAGAAAAACTTGAAAATAGAGTAAAGCTTGAGTACCTTTATTTAGGCATAATGGCCTCACACACTCACAAGTTAATTACACATGTTAGACATTGCTCCTAAAGGTACAGATTTTATTTTGTTTTATATTTATCATTGTATTTATTTTATATTTTGACATCAGGAGATGTTATACAGTTCTGTATTGCCTTTTATTGATTGTGATTGAAACACTTTCTTATTATTTATTTTAATATTTTCAAGACATTCTTTTTAGTTGTACAGCTTATTGAACCTTTTTGTTTGACATCAGCCATTATGAATAATATGGCCATCTGAGTGTGTGTGTGTGTGTTACTGTTTGTGGTTTGTTTTTAACTGTGTAATACAGTTAATGATTCCAAATGTTAGAGTTCCTTATTTTCATACCAAAACTTGCACTACTGTTAAAAATAAATAACAGCAAAAAAAAATTATGCATTTGGGACTTTTTTTTGCTTTTCCTTGTTGTACCGAACCGTGACCCCCAAACCGAGGTATGAACCGAACCGTGACTTCTGTGAACCGTTACACCCCTACTGTGTACCACCGCCTGCGGGTATGGAGTTATTTCCTCTCATGCAGATGCAGAACATGCTAGATGGCCATTGGCCGTGGTCTTTGCAGTGTTGCAAACTCGCATGAGGAAAAGGGGACTATTTTTGTTCAGTGTACAAAACACACCAAATTATAGGGCATGTTATCATATACATGGTTACAAATACTGACTGAATTAATACATTGATTAATCGCTGAATATCAAATTGTCATTGGTTATGTAGTAAAACATTTACAAAAGCAAGGCGTCCATTTTTGTATGAAAAGTTACTATTAGGTTTTTCCATCATGTGAGTCTTTAAAGTGTGGACTCCTTTTCCTGGCTCATGTAGGGAGCACTGGCATAATGCTCTCTTGCTCTGAGCTGTCTTCTAACACCGTCTCTTCTTTCACATTCTGCCCTGGGGGTCCCTTCCTCACTTGGGGTGTGATCCTTGCAATTGGTGTAGAGGTGTGTTGTGGAGACACAGCAAGGATACAGATCCTGGCCCCGTCCTGGGACTGGACCTCGCACCATGGGCCTTCTTTGTGGTCATAACAGGTCACTCCAGAGGCCAATCTATTTGGACCTTTTCCATGTGGCGGTGCCATGCTGGTAAAGACAACCATACTGTTAGCTTTGAGTTCCAAATACTGGTTGCCCGGCTTGAGGAATGGGGGGAATTCTGGTGTCCATCCCGGTCTGGCGTAGGTGATTTTCTTCCAAACCATGGGATTTGAAAGCTCCCTATAGCTGTATTTTTTTCCTGTGTGGCTGTACAGCTGCAAGCTCTGGCTCAGCCTTCGTGAGCAGGAGGGGATGTCTTCTGGCAGTGCACTCGGCCAGTCCAGTGTGATCAGGAGGGGGGAGCTTTCAGCATGGCCGTGCTGAACAGGGGGGAAGGGCCTATAGCGGGACCTAGTATGAGGCTTTCGCTTGGGCGTTTGGCTGGGTCTTGCTGAACAGGAGTGGGGGAACTTCTTGGAAAACTCCATCCCAGCTGTGACAATGGCGCAGTTGCTTGTGTTTCCAGATTGTGTAAAATCCATTTCCTTCTGGGAACATGTGGTAGAAGATGCATGGGTTGTGTCATGGTCAAGCCCGTCTTCCCCTCGAGTTATGGCCTAAGGGTAAGGCAGCAAATTAGTGATCTGTGTAAACCAATCTCCTGTTCTACTGCTTTGAAAGCATTCTGCTTCCCAGTAGTGTACCCATTATGATTGGCATGACTTTTGGCAATGCTACTAGGCCTTGGGCTGTCCCATTTTGGCACAGGTACAACTCCCCGGTTGAAGGGTATCCCTCAGTGTCCTCAAGTACTCTGGTGGAGAGAAAGCTGCAGTGGGGCTTTTAGAGGAAACTATTGAGGAGTATAGAGTTTGATCCTCGTCACCTTCAAAGGCCAACTGTTGTTGGTCTTTGGCTTATCCCTGCTCCACTTCCTGCATGAGATTGTTAAACGTTCGGTAGGTTAGTCGTGAGGGGCTGGATCCTAAGATGACTGTTCTTGGAGATTGTTTGTTTTTGTTGGGGACAGCGTAAAGCCCAAGTTACATCTGTGACATCAATCATAGCCCATTAAAAGGAGCATTTTATATTCTGTGTTAGAAGCAATGCACAACTTTAAAAAAGTAATTCCCAACAAGGGTAAGATTTCTTTTTTTCTGGTTCTGCACAGCCTTTGCCATGCAGCTTTTTCCCATTTAGGGAGGTGTTGTTTCTGGTGAGCTCCAGAAGTTTGTGACTGACAATGGGTGACTTCCCGCTCATGTGGGTGTTTCCTGGTTATCCAGGGAATTTTAAGGCTAATAATAGCCTTTCCCTCTATGTATAGAGGGTTTAAACATGTCACATGGATTCTGTGATGTTGGTTTTCCAATAGGAGGTGCACCCGACTGAACGGGTACTGGCCAATATATTTCCCTTTCAAGGATGAATCTCCAGGTTTAATTCTGGTGGTTGGGTATATATTCCGGCAGAGGAGCCAGGTAGGTTATCTCCCATGTGAGGGTTTTTCAATCAGAATTTTTTACAGAACTGTAAACATTTAGTGGAAGATCAGGAGGTGTCATGAAGTGTCTGATCTCTCGATCGCCCTCGTAGTCAGGTGGTTATATCCAGAGTCTTGATTACGGCCTTGGGCGCTTTGCTGCTTGTCATACCCCACATTCCCCCCTCTCATTTCCATATTAAATGTGTCTTCCCTAGAACTTATGATTTTTCTTAATTACGTTTTCTTGCAAAAATAAACTTGGAAAAGGGCAATGGGTATAGTATTTAGGGGTATCTATTAAGATATGGAAGACAATATTCAAAAGATGTTTTTGTTAGTGTATAGAAGAGAGAAAATCACCATGTTTATATTTACCTCCACATGTAACCCAATGTTTCAACAGCAGCTCAGAAAAGACAAACAACTGTGGCTTTAGAGATGGCCTCTGGGATTTATACATTACCTGAAGCTTGTAAAACAGCTGTAAAGCCAGTCGCTGCCTGCAATTCCGTTGTTCTTGAATTTGATTTGTCACATGGATGACCTCTGAGCGATGTGAAGGTCTTAAAACACTGTGGTGTTAAAGCGGTTTTGTACTCGGTAAATCTTTTTAAATCTGTTGTACTCCTCAACAGGGATTTCCTAACTGTATGCCTTCTGCCTGGACACTTTCTTCTCCTTTCTCTCTTAGGCTGGATTCACACCAAATCAGGGTGTGGGATTTTCACTTAATGGCCCTTTATCAGCAATAGACCTCACAAGGATTAAATATTTTTGAAACCCTCATTAGAGGGCTGTACAATGTTGGATTCTTGTTAGCATGAATGGCCACTGCAGTGTGACATGGGGTTGTTTTTCCTCCAGATGTTTATCCTAGCTAGTTAAGGTTTTTTGGTATGATGGCTATTTGTCGGATTCAACAGCATGAGTTTATGACATATATTTGTGTCAAGAACTGTACACTTTGCTCATCATTCCCATGGCCAAAGTTATGTTTCCTTTTGTCTTCATGTTGTTCCAGAAGGAACTGACCTCATCTCTTGAGTCTGAGGTAAAGACGCTCACTTTCTGTGCTTGTATAGGTTACTCTGTTGAATACAACTATGTATGTCTATAGTTTTTTGTTTGATAAATAACTAACTAAGTTGACCTTTGTAACCATTGGTTCGGCCCCTGTTTGGGCACCATGTAAGACTGTTGGACTCAAAATCGAATAAAGGTATCAATGTGGACAGGGATCGGTAGGCTAGAGCCGTTTCAACAAATGGATTGTGTTTCTGACAAATACTGATATCTAAAGCGTAAACTAGCATAAATCCTTGAGGTAGCAGCATAGTCGCAAGATGAACGGTTAAATTGCACAAAATAAAGAGGAATGTGACTTAATTGGAATGTGGCATTGGCTGCCAAGCAGTGCCTTGATTGAGACCTGCGTTAAGCCAGTAATTCCTGTTACCTTGGTAACACTGGCAGTGCCAGTTGGTGCTGCATCTCCTCTTATTGGTTGTTCCCGAACCACGTCTCTACCGAAAGAAAACAAAAAGCGGTTCAGTAGCAACATACAGGCAATCTACAGGAGATAAATCACACATTTACAAAATAGCAATTCTCAATATGCCAGGTTTATACTGTATTATATTTAGACAGGCTTTGTTTACAGCTGCATGCAATTCAGACATTAGAATTTGATATTCTTTGGTGAAGTGAAATTGTTCCTTAGGAAAAAATATTTTGCTTATAATAAAAAATCTCAAGTTTAAAGATTTAGCTTTAAACTAAATCCTTGTTATGACAGAGTAATCTCTTTAGTGGACACCAACATATTCTATTTTTAACAAAAAGTATTTAATTTCACTATGATTAAAATCAGCTATACATTTTAATAAAAAAAACAACAAGGTTATTTTATTGTTAGTGAGTAGTGGCACCATTGTCAGTTATTATGTTATTATACATTTCTTTACAAAACTTTACCCCGAAAGTTCAGTTTTAGTCGTTCACTCACCTTGATCGGTCGCCTACAGGACAGGCTGTGGTACTGGAAGAGGCTGCAGAACTTGTAGCTGCTTCGGGAAATAAAGGCTCTCCTTGCTGATCAGCTTTCTCTTTCCCATCATCAGTTGCGTGCGTCTGGGAACTCAGTCCCGTCACTACAGCTTTGCTTTGATTGGACGAAGGGGTAGACGTGTCAGTATTCCTGGGGTCTTGGCTTCCTCCCAGTGCTCCCACCACTCTTACTGGAGGACCATCTCTGTGACCTCCAGCCTCTCCTCCTCCCCTCCTCTGTCCCTCAGTGAGAGTCGCTGCCCCGCCTTGCCTCTTCTCCTCCTCCATCGTCTCCTGCTTTAATGCTGAGTGGATTAACTCCAAAGTGGCTGCCACTGCTTTTCTGTCCTGAGTGACCTGGACTGACTCAGTGAGACCTTTCTGAGGTAGAGGAGGGGAGGTGGGACCGCTACCTGTAGGAACAACATTGACAGGGAAGTTCTTCAGGGAGTGGAGGCTTAGCTCTGCCTGAGAGGCCAATTGGCGCTCGGCTCGTAACTGTGAGATGGCTCGTCGGAGAACCTCGTAGTCTGTTTCTGAGTGAAGCGGCACTCCTTCCTTACAGGAAGCATCCGGAACAAGCTGGTCTGACAGATGAGAAAGAGCAGGGGGAATGAAGTCGGGTTGCTGGTGGAGATGTTGGGGTTGATCATGAGAGGAGAGGGAAGGGATGTGTTCTGGGAAGATACAAAGAGAACGATCAGACACAAAGTCACTGAGACAAAGATATCTCAGGAGACCTGAGGACAGTAGAAGACAGCAGAGAGATCTAGGATAAATGTTCCCAGCTATTTAGACCTAATATCCTGAAATTACATCTACATTTCTTTTTGTAATCCAATTCATTTAGAATAAAGACATTTACCATTTACCAATGCACACTCTAATTACTGCCGGAATTTTAACAAAGACTTTGTAAAGAGGATTGTCCAAACTGGGGATTACATTGGTAGTACAGGGGGCTGATTCACAATAAACCAATTGGGGCCAAATTCCACTACCTATCTATGGGAGAAAGATATACTACCATATAGTTTAATGCTGAATTGGTACTTATTCATTTAATTGAAGTTACATATTTTACAAATTTCACAAACACCACAACTGACCTTTGGGAGACAGCACGTCATCTATGATTGGCTGCCTTTTCTTGATGTCATGGTGACCAACCAGTCTGCCGAAGTCGTGCAGGATTTCTTCAAAACTGGCCACGATGATGCCACTATTTGAGTGGTCAGGGAACTTCTCAAAATTATGCTCTGAGGAAAAAGGAAAGTAACGTCAGTACTATAAATCAGGTGGTAAAGTAAGATTTCAAATCCAATCAGGTAATCGCACATGCGTACCAGTGAGGAACACTGTGTGTCGGAACTGTGTGTATCGGGCCTGGAGCTCCAGCAGACAGACCAGGTCGGGTGACTGAAGGTTCATCATGTCGCAGTTATGATACGGGAGGAACTCAACAATCTGCCGCTTCTGATAGGCTGACAGTACATCCAGTAGGTTGGCTGCATCTCTCCGGAATCTGACAACCAAAAAAACATTCAACCTGACCCATGGTAACAATGTTCATGGAACACTAATACATAGACATATAAAGACAGTGGTTTTAGATTTAGTTTTTAATAAAAACTGTCTTAGCACTTGTTAGAACCACTGTCAAGATAAATGAAAATCATGAGTTTCATAACATTCGTTTCGGTGTCTCTATGGGATGCACCTCCCCAGATATACATCAGAAGCATCAATCCTGATTGACTGGTGATCTTGTCGACCACGTCAGGGAATCCACATACCCTTAAAGTAGCTTGCGCTCCGTCACATTCAAACATCTCTTCTCGCTTCGGAGCACATGAGCCTGTTTTTCAGGCCTCAGGCTCGAAAATGTCATGTCCAGAACAAATGACTATATCTTCACTTCTAAAAAGGGGAAAATTAATAATCTTTTTTCTCAAAGCAATGATAAACCTGTGAGTTGGATGTAGAAAAGTCAGAATCAATATAGATGTTTTTATTTTTAAAGTAAATTCAGATTGCACATAGTAATTTTTTTTTAAAATTATAGTTTCCGTCCAAAAAAAACCCCCAGCCCTCACCATCCACTCTGCCCTCTCACACCTGGACCAGAGCAACACATATGTGAGAATGCTGTTCATTGATTACAGTTCAGCGTTCAACACCATTGTGCCCTCCAAGCTGGTCATCAAGCTCAGAGACCTCGGGTTCAACAGCGCCCACTGTGACTGGATCCTGAACTTCCTGACGGGCGGACCCCAGGCAGTGCGGGTGGGAAACATCACATCCTCCACCCTGATCCTCAACACCGGAGCCCCTCGTGCTCAGCCCTCTCCTCTACTCCCAGTTCACTCACGACCGCGTGGCCATACACAGCTCCAACACCATCGTGAAGTTTGCTGACGACACGACCGGCGTCGGCCAGATCACCGGCGGCAACGAGACGGCATACAGAGAGGAGGTCGAAAACCTGACATCGTGGTGCCAGGATAACAACCTCCATCTCAACGTCAGCAAAACAAAGGAGCTGATTTTGGACTACAGGAAGCAGCAGAGAGAGGGTCACGCCCCCATCGCCATCAATGGGACTACGGTGGAGAGAGTCAGCAGCTTCAGGTTCCTCGGTGTCCACATCACTGAGGACCTGAGATGGACTCTTCACACCACCACCATCACCAAAACAGCTCGACAGCGGCTCTTCTTCCTCCGCAGGCTGAGGAGGTTCAACATGGACTCCAGGATACTCTGCAACTTCTACAGGTGCACCATAGAGAGGATCCTGACCTTCTACAGGTGCACCATAGAGAGGATCCTGACCGGCTGCATCACGGCCTGGTACGGCAGCTGCACCGCCCTCAATCGTAAGGCTTTACAGAGGGTGGTGAAAACTGCAGAGCACATCACCAGGACGGAGCTGCCTTCCATAGAGGACCTTTACTCCCAGCGGCTCAGGAAGAAAGCCCTCAGGATTACAAAAGACCCACATCACCCCAGCACTAAACTGTTCTGTCTGCTGCCGTTTGGCAGGCGTTACCGCAGCATCAAGACTAAAACCACCAGATTCAGAGACAGTTTCGTACCACAGGCAATAAGACTATTAAACACCTTTACTTGAAACATCATAACATTAATCTGGCTGCTACTTAGGAATTATTTATCTAATATATCATTCCAATCACTTGCACTATTTCACCATTTCACTTTTTTTCGGTTTATCTGTTTTATTGTGTTGCACTGTTGGAGGAGCCTGTGACCTAAGATTTTCATCGTCATAACTACACTGTAGCTATCCATGTATGACCAATAAAAGCCTTGAACTTGAACCTTGAAAACCACCCTTGAATGATGGGATAGTAGCCAAAAACCTTTAGGAATCCAAATTATAACATATAATAAGTACTCTGTATCAAGATTGATGCAAAACAAGTGAAATTTGACCTTTTTAGAGAGATTTAGAAGAAGAAAAACCCACCTCCACCATATCTCTGGAACCCATTGGTCGATTTTTATGATTGACACCTCTTTGTAACCGTTACGCAGCCTCTACACGGCAGTGTGCGTTGAAGCTTGCCGGCGGGTGTGTCTGAAGCTCGGCCAACAACCAATCACATGAATCTCCCGCCCCGGACACACAAGCACGCGGTTTGATTGCCAGAGCTACTGGCATATGATTTGATTGTCTGACGCTTCCGTCGAAGCTTGAAAAGTTGAACTTTTCTCAACTTTTGAAGCGAGCAAAGGAGGCAAAGCGAAGCGACGGAACCACAATGCCAGGGTATATGCAGGAATCCTGAAGTCAAATTTAATACCTTTTAAGACCTTTTTTTAAGACCCTTTCCATACTTTTTAAGACCTCATCGCAACTTCGAGTTCTAACCGGTTACATTGGTGACACACTTTACCTCACATTTACTATATTGATTGTAAGATAGCACAACTAAACAGAGTGCAGACAGACTACTGAAGCCTCCTCTCCACATGAACTTCAACCTCTCTGTGAAAGTCAGGTTTAATGCAGTATGCTGCTTTGTTGCTTCTGTACTCTGTGCTCTTTCATTCCAGTAGAACTCCTCAGAAACCATTAGAAACCAGTATTTGACCAATAAACAAAACAATTGACAAAACTTTGAACTATGAAATATATTAAACTTTGGTGAGCTTCAGTGGGGTAATGCCATATAGGAGCTCCCTCACAAATACCCAGGGGTTAAATTGGGCTGGGGCTGTCCGGGGCTAAGCCCGGCACATAGGACGATGCTCTGACGTCATCACCCTCACACATTTGTCATATGTTTACAAAAAACGATATATGTTAAGACTTTTCTCGTTCTTAATATAGACTATATTTAGGGTCGATATGTGTTGACCTTACTTTAAAATAGCAGATCTCTGTGACCGGATATAGTTTGGCTTAGACCCCGGCCCCACGAGGACGCATACAGTAAAACGCATACGCAAACGCAAAAAAGCCTTCCGTTCACACGCATTCGATTCATTAACGTGTCCGTTCACACTAGACCGCTGGAAATGCTGGAAACGCTGTAGTACATATGCCAGGCCTGTAAGTGGCGCTGCTGCTGCCACAAAATACACCAAAAGCAGCGAAGAAGACCCCGGAGCATGGTTGTCATGGTTGCCCTTCTGTTTATTCTCCGCGGTGGACGGCGTGTTTTCCTGCTGTATATCTCTCAGGTAGTCCACCAGCAGATAAACCCCCCCCCACCCTAGGGCTGTGCAATTTAATCGATCCTGCGATATATATCGATATTTAGTTTTCCGAGAAAGTATCGATATTTCAGCCGTGGGTATCAATACATTAATTCTGATAACTGTGTTCGTTATTCTCGCGTCCAGGAGAGAAGCTTTAAAAAGGAGACTAATTGAGTCTCTGAGAAGGTTCAAATGTATACTTTAAAATAGAAAGTGCGGTAATGTTACAAGCAGAAGATGGTTCAGTCAGAAAAACAGCTGTGTACTGGCTCTCATGAGCAAAGGGAAGAGAGCGAGCTCCACCTTTCCAGCTGTTAAATATCCTCTGCTGGCTCCTCCCTGTGGGCCGGTTGGCGCTGCTGGGGGCCGGCCCTCCACGTCTCCAATGTTCGTTGTTGCGCATAACAGAGGATTCAGACATTGTACATTAAATATATAACTAAACACGCCTTTTCTCCTCCTTATCTCTTTCATGACTTTTCATTTAATACATTTTAAACGCTGTAATCAATACTCCAAAAATACCTCACGGCTGGTATCATTTCCGGTAGTTACGGATGTTGTCTCATGCTACCCACGTCTGTAAACAAACGTATTCAAATAAACTGTACCTTCATTTAATATTCAGCAATAATAATATCTCGACGTCTATAGTTGTAGTGTTGAAATCAGTAGGTTTCGGTGTGCAACACTCCGTGTCATATCGCTACTAAATTCACCTCTATAGTAAATGGTATATTAGCCACATGCTAAATGCTAACCGGAGATGAAGGATTTTCAGAATAAAAGCTTAACAACTGATTGTGCACAAGAACTTCTGGTTTTTCAGTATAAAACAGCATTTAAACTGACGGTATGTTTAAGGTACTTTATGCCATCAAAACATTGATTTTAATTTCTAACAAGTCCCATTCAAATCCCCCGTGTTCCGCCACCTGCTGCACCTTTTAATTCTCCATTGTCCATTGTGATACTGCCCTTTATGTACTTACGTTTCAAAGGCTTGTAAGCTACAGTTTGCACTGTTTCAATAAATGAAACTAATTTTCATTTATGGTCCATTTTCTGAAAGTGAAAGCCTTCAGGGCTTGCCTCACGCATTTCCGGCTACGCAAATATATTCTTTTCAGATCATGTCTGCGTTTGCTGGGGCTCATGTTGTCAGCCATCCTGGTAGTACGGCTGGGCCGCTTATACATGAGGAATTTCCAGCACTGGGTAGCTGCCTTCAGACTGGACCCCTTGCGCCATGGCTCCCGGAGATGGACACTGGAATGAGCAATGGCACTGCGCCACTGGCCGGCCCCGGCTTTCCTGACAGAGGGCGTGCCTATGGGCAATGTCTTAGACGGAAGTCTGTCGGGCTGGGGCGGAGTATACAAGGGTCGATCTGTGAGGGGTCTCTGTAGCAAATATCTCTAGCGATCACATATAAACTATCTGGAGCTTTTAGCGTTGTTTATCACCCTAAAACGCTTGCTGCCATTTCTCTGTTCTTTGTATCAAAGATGGCAAACCATTTACCAGGGAGCGGCTCTCCCACTGGATTGTGGGAGTGATAGCTCTGGCTTATACGACTCAGGGTTTGCAGGCACCAACGGGCCTGCAGGCTCATTCTACTCGTGGCCTGGCTACTTCCTGGGCCTTTTTAAGGGGGTTTCTATCCAGGACATTTGTGCAGCAGCGAGCTGGTCTTAACCACTCACTTAGTCCGTTTTTACAGATGAGATTGGATGTCTCTGCTCCAAGCGTGGCCCATGCAGTGCTGGGCTCAGGGCCCGCGTTGGGACGGAGTTCTACCTGTTGACACCTCTCTGCTGAACAACCTCAACGGCTTCTTTGCACGCTTTGAAGCGCAGAACAGCACACCTGCGCAGAAAACAACGCCTCCACCCAACGACCAGGCTATCTGTCTGTCCCCAGGCAGTGTGAGGAGCACACTGTTAAGGATTAACACCCGGAAAGCCTCTGGGCCTGACAACATTATTATTGTTATTGATTAATGCATCAGTGTTTCTTAGGGTCAAAAACACTAAACTCACAACTTAAAATGAAAGCGTTTAGTTTATTTAATAAAAGAGCACATGTTCAATGTGAAAAGTGACCGTTGATATAGATTAGTTGCAATTTGGTGCTATATATATATATATAAAAAATAAAATTAAAAAAAATTATAATTTTGTTTTCTTTTTTTTAAACACCTTGAATTTCAGGGGGGGCGCGGGGCTCCGTTGCCGGGGCGCAGCGCCCCTCCAAGACAATGGTACGGGAAACACTGTATAGGATATACATATTGTGTATATAGGATATACATATTTTATACATATCTTTATATTGTATTTTTTTATTGGGATTGTTGGAAACGTCATTTCGATCTCTCTGTCTGTACACACAAACTGAAAGATTGACATTAAAGTTGACTTTGAGTACTGGTGGTTTTTCGATATAAGCATGTCTGGCAATACGGGAGTCTCCATATCTCATAGTGAGATATTGAAACAAATGTTATGAATGAGAACTATAGGTTGTGAGTGAGATGCATCACCAGACAGCCCTTCTTGCTGAGGCGAAGCAAGATGCTTATTTTGAATGACGCTGTGCTGTAGCGCAAGCTACTTTAAGGGTGGGTGGATTCCCTGACATAGTCCTCAAGATCACCAGCCAATCAGGATTGGCGTATTGAGATTAATTCTTCTGAGGTATACACAGGGAGGCGCATCCCTTAGTGAGACATCTCACTTATGTTACTCTGAGAACCAGGGTTATGCTTGTAAACTATGGATGACTACGTGGCTTAATGGTAGGATTATCCACAAAACACGTATAGATGAGAGCAGCGCTAATGTCACTTCCGGGCAAAATTACGCCCTCGCCCACTTTCCAGTGAAATCTACGGCGCAAAAACCCAACAAATAAAGGAGGAGGAGGGGTCTACTTTGAATTTTGTGTTGACAAACTGCAACCACACAACAGCCACACAATATGTAATGTATTGGGCCTTTACCCAAATCTGAAAATAACAAGGCTACATTTCTAAATGTTTATTAAGTGTAAATAGGTGTTCGACTCAAAATCCATTCAGTAATAAATCGTAAAACAGTTGAATCTTGTGTGTGATGTGCTACAGGGTAGGATTGCTACGCAGTGAAGACATAATCAGTACCTGGATTGTTCTTTTAATTTCTTGTGGGTTTTACAGTGAACCTTCAGCCTCCAGACACTCTCTGGAGAACTGTTCTGCTCCAGGAGCATCAGCAGTGCCGTCAGTCGATCTGCAGAACAACATCAGTTACATAAACACAAACAAGTTCTGCATTTGCCTTTTCATTCAAATAAAGCAGAAAAACTATAACCAGAAGGACGATCAAAATAAGTCAAGAAAAAATTATCCGTTACAACCGTCTAAAAATATTATTTGTTGGACAATTTTTTTGGTTTGCCTATCCTTGATTTACCGTGAGTGATGAAGTCTGGATTGAGGATTAACTCGTCGGAAATGATGCATCCTCCAGAAACAAAAAGCTCGTTGTAGCTGTTATTCTTGATGTCATCCAGAGTATCGATCCCCACAAACACCACAGAGTCTAGACGCTTCAGAGACACTAGACCTGGGATCTGTGGAAGTGAAGTAAGAATCATCAGTAAAGTTTATACATTTTCGCGACTTCTGGTTTGAGGTGAGCCGATTAGACGCGTGCTCGACTGGCTCTAACTTTTCCACTCTTATTTACCTTTTAAACCTCGTCTTTTTTCAACATAATTAGTTTGCAACAGTTTTATAAGCCAGTGTTAACTACAAAGACCTCCGGCAATGTCGAAAGGAAAGGGAAAACAAGCTGCAAAGGGTCTCCGTCAGCGTCGACTCCTAGCATAACTTTGGCTGACATTAGCTTGCTGCTGGAGGAACATAGAGCAGCTCTCACGGCTGATTTCAAATCCTCATTTGAGTCTCTGACATCTACATTACATTACATTGCATTTAGCTGACGCTTTTATCCAAAGCGACTTACAATAAGTACATTCGACCAAGAAGATACAAACTTGAAGAAAACAGAATCATATAAGTACATCAGGTTTCATAGAGCCAAACATTTCAAGTGCTACTCAACTGGCTATAGATAAGCCAGTCCATTATTAGTATATAAGTGCTTTGTTAATAATTCTATTGCTCGAAGTGGAGTCGAAAGAGATGAGTTTTCAGTCTGCGCCGGAAGGTGTGTAAGCTTTCTGCTGTCCTGATGTCAATGGGGAGCTCATTCCACCATCTTGGAGCCAGGATAGCAAACCCACGTGTTTTTGCTAATGGGAATTTGGGTCCACCTCGTAGTGCGGGTGCAGCGAGCCGTTTGGCCGATGCAGAGCGGAGTGCACGTGCTGGGGTGTATGGTTTACCCTGGACAGCATACACTCCACTATCAGAGACAGCGTATACATTCTCTGGAAGCTAATGGTACTGAAGTCGACCAACGTCTCCAGCAACTTGAGGGAGAGGGGTCTGCCTGCAGACCTCCACTCTCAGAATAGTTCCGGTGCAGACCTCCACTCTCAGGACAGGAAGTGCACGCTAAGAATTCCAAAAATAAAATCACCACTATCAGTACAGTGCCACTTTCCAAACAGGAAATGCACGCAAATACAAAACAAAATCGGATCGTGACACTTATTATATACATATGTATATATATATATATATATATATAGATATATACGGACACCTTGTATTGTTGTTACCAGCTGGTTGTTACTATCAGTACAGCCGCAGCGCCACTTTCCGAACAGGAAATGCACGCAGCATACAAAATAAAATCGTACTGACACTTATTATCTATATAGATATATATTTATTTATATAAATACGACATCTTGTATTTTAGTTACACCCGCTAGACAACAGTGGAAGGTTCGAGAAACAACCGTGTTTGCCGGGTGCACCGCGGCGGAGGTGGGGAGGTTCCAGCTGGGAACATCCACCCCGCTGCGGGACCCGTGGGACCCCTGGACGGAATCGACCGGCCGGCGCGGAGGCCCTCCGACAGTAGGAGAGGAGAAAAATGCAACAAAAATGGTCAAAATATATGGATGAGTGGGGGGGGGGGGGCTGGACACAGGCCGTGGGGGGGACACCCGAGACCGGGCAATGTCCCTGGTAGAAACCGGGTGAAATAGCCTAAAAAATAATAAAACTGGGGAAAAGTGAAAAAAAGTAAAAAAAATAGGCACTTGTGAGGCGGGCAGAGTCCCCTGTCAACTCCCGTTTTTTTACAAGAACCAGGCTGGGGGGGTCAAAGTGCACGGTGGGCGGACTCATCACCTCCGTGATGAGTCTCCATTGTGATTTGAAAACTTCCATCAAACGAGTCCTTCGGTGGGCGGGAAAAAAAACGCGTCAAAATCGTCACTTCCTGTACTGACAGTGGAGGTGTCCTGAGAGTGGAGGTCTGCACCGGAACTGTCCTGAGAGTGGAGGTCTGCATGCAGGCTCCCATGACTTGAGGACGCATACTCCGCTCTGAAGGGGGAAAACGAGACACTCAAAACTAAGGTAGCAGACTTGGAGGGACGCAGCAGACGCCAAAATCTTCAGATTACTGGCCTACCTGAATCTATCGTAGGTCCCCGCCCGTCTGCCTTCTTCTCTCACCTCCTCATTGATAAGCTGTACAAGCCGGCTCTCCTCTTCCCAGCCAAGTTGCGCATCACCCTGCCTAACGGTGACCGGACATGGCTTATGTCTGCTCCGTCAAGTTTGTTCAGGACTTGAACATAACTCCGTAAGCAAGCTAACTGTCAGATGTAATTTTGTTTGTCCAATGTTTTTTCAGTTAGGTTTTTTATTATATTGTTTAATTTATTATCCTTTGCCTGTGGGCTGCTTCTACACATATTATATTAAACTCTGTCTCACGCCACACCTTTTCTCTCCCTGTTGCTTGTCAGCAGGCGGGGGGTGCCAGGTATGGGGACAGGGACATGCAGGTACACCACCTGCCCAGTACCATTTTATGCTGAGCTCTAACTCCTTAACAGCACCAAGTGGTGCTTTAAGATTTACTAGTTGGAATGTCAGGGGCCTGAATTCTTCTGTGAAGCGTAACAATATGATTAACCATTTAAAAAGTTTAAACACTAAAATGGCCTTTTTGCAAGAAACCCACCTCCAACCATCAGACCATCTTAAACGTTGCAGAGGGTGGGTGGGCCAGCTTTACCATTCTTCTTTTTCGAGCAAGGCCCGAGACGTTGCAATTCTTGTTCATAAATCTGTCCCATTCTCTGTGTCCGATGTTATATCAGACCCAAATGGCCGTTTTATTATCGCAACTAGCAAAATATGTGGCAACAATCTGACGTTGACGAACGTGTATGGCCCGAATTGTGACAACGAGGACTTTTTCAGAAATGTTCTTTTCTCCATTCCTGATATAAATTCCTGTCAGCTCATTCTGGGAGGTGATTTTAACTGTTGTATTGATCCTTCACTTGACCGTTCTTCTAACAAGCCCTCTGCCCCATCCAAATCTTTCAAAGTTATTCAACTCTTCATGGAGCAATACGCAGTCTTAGATGTCTGGCGCTTTTTGAATCCTAGTGCCAAGCAGTTCTCCTTCTTTTCTCCTGTTCATGGTACTTTCTCCCGAATTGATTTCTATCTTATTGATAACAAATTGCTCCCCTCTGTTAGCTCGTGCTCATACAGCCCTATAGTTATATCGGACCACGCAGCTGTCATTGTTGACATCTCTCTTCCCGGCAGGTCCTTGTCACGTTCCCCCTGGCGCTTCAATTCATTACTACTTTCTGACCCGGATTTTATCAAAACTATTAGGAATCGCATTGACCTTTTTATTTCCACTAATGTTAACCCGACTGTATCTGCAGCAACAGTTTGGGAAGCATGCAAGGCCTATCTACGAGGGGAAATAATATCTTATTGCGCATACCAAAGGAAAATCAATACTGAGAAAAGTATCTGCCTCTCCTGGGCTTTATCGGATCTGCAGACAAGATGTGTAGACCCAGTGCAGATCTTCTCAAAGAATTACTGACAAAAAAATGCTGAATTTGACCTTTTGGCCTCAGAAGCGGCAACAAAATCACTTTTAAAAACACGCCATAATTACTACGAATTCGGAGATATATACAATATATATATTGTATTTTATTTATTTTTTATTTCATTATTGTCTAATTGTAACTGATGTATTGTTTATTGGGGTTGTTTTGTTAGTAATCGCAGGGTTAATGTATTGCTGCTGGACAGACTTGTTAAATTGTGATACTTAGGTTACTGATTACATTTTATTTTATAGGAAACTAAAAATGCATTCTGCTACCAAAGTAACCCTCCCTCAGGAGGTACCTTGTGAATGTATCCAGCTATGTCTTGGTTCTGAATGACCACCAGCAATCTGTCTGCAGCATTCTCTTGGTTCAGAAAAGCCATCGGACTCTGCTCCGCGTTCCCCTGCTTCAACAGGTTTGCCTACAACAGAAGAGAACACATACACACTGTATACAGAAAATATAATAATTTAACATCAATAAGGGAGAACCTATATTCCAAGAGCAACTGATAAAACAATAAATAGATGTCAAATAATGTTCATGAATCTCTGCCATTGATTTCCAGTGTGAACCGAACCCCTCAATCGGGTATCAGCTGCTTAATCACATTTTAAGTGTGCAGCCCATGAGCTTACCTTGACCTCTTGATGGACCTGGTCCCCCGGCTCCATGCTGTGGAGGTAGAACTGCAGGGTGTTTCTCTTCACTTCTTTGATGATCTTCACCAGACTGTTAAAAACTTCCGGCTGCAGCTGGCTGATCAGGGAGCTCAGTGCTGAGGCCGGGGGGGTGGGGGTGGGCCCGGGGACGGAGGCAGAGACTGGCTCAGAGACACAGCTGAACCCTGGCAAACTCCCCTCATACTTTGTACCTGCAAGACTACTCCCCCCCATCTCAACACTACAGTGCTCAGTCCAGTCCTCTTTTGTTTGTCTGATGTTATGAGTTCTATTGATCTCTAAACTGTGACTCTGCTGTTTCCAGTGGGAGTGTGGGGGCTTGTTAGGAGCAGGAATGAGGACAGAAGTGTTAGCCAACTTGTAGGCAGAATCCGACGGAGCGGTAGTAACAGATAAAGAGACGTGAGACGACAACATGGGACTGATGTTGCCTGTAGCATCGGGAACATGCTTAGGGATTGTGTGCTGCTGCCACGGATCACTTCCTCTGGAGAGTGCAGGGTTGGTACTGACGTCAGCGGCTGTCAGTTCACCAAAGATACCGTCATCTTCTCCACTCGTTGGAGCTTTAGATGCTCTGATGCTGGACACAAACTCACTAATTCTGCTTGCTAGTGCGTCATCCACATTAGTCCTGCTGCTGCCAGGTTTGTGGCTCGGGCAGGTGTCTTCAAATATTCTGTTGAAGTCGTGCGTTAGTGGGACCACGGGGTCATGTACTGGGGAGCAGGGGTTGTAGAAAGAAACATAGTGTGATAACTGAGACATTGAGGCGTGTGGGAGTGTGTGATGAGGTGCGGAGGTTTCTGTGTTGGAGGTGGAATGTGGGAATTGTGGGAAGCTGTAATGAATGCTCTGCTTCTGCAGGAGGAGCTGTACATCAGAGGAGAAGTTGCCCAGGTGTTTGTCAACGACGCTGTCAAGACAAGTAGGAGGTACGGCGACGGGTGGAGAAAACAAAGGGCCACCTACAAGGTCCTTCACTTCCCCCACTTCCACTTCCACATCCATAAATTCCACCTCCTCCTCCTGGTCTTCTTTCACTCGCTTCTTGAGAATATTAACTATTTCCACCTCCTCTGAAACGTCTGCCTGTACTTCCTTCACTACCCCTTCTCCATCCGGCTGAGTTGGGGGTGGTGACGGGCTCCTCCTCCTCTCTGGCGCTGGAGGTACAGATGGCTGGATGGATGTAGAAATAAATGGCTCTTCATTCTTCTTTTCCTTTCCCTGAGGTGTCTTTTCTCTGTCCTTATACGGCCCTGCAGGAGGCAGAATACACAACAGAGGCATACTGAGTAAAGAAAGTATATAACACATTCATTTAAGTAGGTGGAATGGATGAGGGGGGAGTCGGAGAGAAACTCCCTCTGGAGGAAATGTTAGGATTTTAGCAACAAATGTTGAAATATTTCATATGGCCAATATCAACCAAATCCAGTCAAACAGATTAAAACTTGAGCATGTGTGAAGTTACCTGCAGATTCCCTGGAGGGGGGGTGGACGACCGGCTCCACGTTAGCACATCTGTGGTTGCTGTTAAACTGGCTGAGGTCATTAGGCTCCGCTGAGGGGAGGGGGGGGCGGCCAAGGAGACGAGGGTCCAGACGTTGTGTAGGTCTGCATTGTGGAGAGGGGCATTTTGGGGGAGAGGGGGGAGGGCTGGGCTCCGGGGACGGGCATTGAGACGGGGAGGTGGGCGGACTGGGCTCTGGAGACGGGCACTGGGAGGGGGAAGGGGGGGGGCTGGGGTCTGGTGACGGGCACAGGGAGATGGAGTGAGGAGGGCTGGGCTCGGGGGATGCGCATCGGAGGGGGGAGGGAGGAGTGCTTTGCCTGGGAGACGGGGAGGGGCTCTGCCCGGGGGGTTTGCTGGTTGTGGTGATCGTCGTTGCCGTGGTGAGGTGATGGAAGCGAGGGTCCTGAGGGAGTTTTCTGTCTCTGTGGGTGTACCGTGAATAACTTAGCCCTGCAGAGAGAGCAGAGTTTACATGAGATTTGTAATGCTGATCACTGCTAGGCAAAATGTTATTTTTTTTTTAATATATATATATATATATATATATTAGGGCTGTCAGTCGATTAAAATATTTAATCGCATGATTGTCCATAGTTAATCGCAAATTAATCGCACATTTTTTATCTGTTCTAAATGTACCTTCGAGGAATATTTTTCAAGTTTTTAATACTCTTATCAACATATGAGTGGACAAATATGCTTTATGCTAATGTTTATTATCATTTGAACAATGAAAATATTCTCATGAATATTAAACACAACAACCTCTGAACATTAAAAATATTCGCCTCAATTCAACCTGAAACCTCTCTCATACAATAATACAATACAAATGGTGTGTGTGTGTGTGTGTGTGTGTGTGTGTGTGTGTGTGTGTGTGTGTGTGTGTGTGTGTGCGTGTGTGTGTGCGTGTGATGGATCGTTGGAGCTATGTGCAACTCAAGGCATATGCTCGAACGGGAGCTGCCTGGACGCTGCAATCATGTTGCGCGCACTATCCGTGCTGAGTGTGCTGACTTTTCGTACAATGTCCCACTGTCTGGCTTCCTGCATAAAGTCAAGTGCTCGGCGCAGTTGTGGCGAAATGTCGCTCCTCTGTTTTCATTTAAACAGCTCCATATCCGTTAGCGCAGCTAGCTAGCACCAGATGCTAACAACAACAATGCACGTAAGGTCTCTCTCTCGCTCGTTCGGGCCACACATACACACACCCTCCCGGTCCTCCCAATAGCCAGTCGGTGCCTGCCGGTGAGCGTGGAAGTGTGGTCTGCCACAAGCGGGCGGCAGGAGCGGGGCTGTCAAAAAATACACATGCGTTAATCGCGTTAAAATAATTAGTGGCGTTACATTTTTGTTGCGTTAACGCGTTATTAACGCGTTAACTTGACAGCCCTAATATATATATATATATATATATATGATATATAAATCCAATCCAATTAAACATGTTAAGGATGAAGTTGGAGTTTGTGAGATTTGGTGTACTTTGGGGCAGGCTACATTTATAAAGTTTCTCCCTTTTTCATTTTTTTTTCTCATTTTCCTTATTTTACATGGTCATTTTCAACTATTATTGCAAATATGACATATTGGGATATGTAAACAAACTAGAAAATGCATTTCCTGCAGAAAATGCGTGCGAATGATGTAAACTGAACATTTGTTGCTGAATTTTGCTGAAAATGCAGAAAAAGCAGAATATTTTATTAGCTGAATGGTAGCTGCTTTTAGCTACAAAAACTAAGTAAGTGTGTTGCCGAACTCTGCGGAGAAATGCAGAAAAGTGAAATGATTTGAATCAAATTGTAACAGCTCAAATGCATTGCAATGACTTTGTTGAAAACTTGAACGTGAAATGTTAAACTGGAAGAGTAGGAAAAATAGTGAAGAAGCTTAATATTTTAAAAGGTATAAACAACAAAATGTATAGCCTTGATGTCCTGAAATAGCTGAATAATGTAATAGTTGAATGGTTTCTGTAGCTGAAAATAGGCTGGAGTTAAATATCAGATGTAAGTAGTAGTGAATTAATTTGTATTAAGAGAAAAGAAAGTAAAAAGGCTTTGAAAAGCAGCAGAATATTTTAAATGCAAACTTTTGAACTAACTTGATGGCGAATGATCTGTCGCCATGGCAACGGCATATGATGACACCCCATACTACGCTTAGATGCGTTGATGGCTGCATCGTTACCAAACCTGTGAAGTTCTGGGCCGTTTGGAGCATTTTCACTGAAGTTATGAGAAAACCGTGTTTCATGGCGAGCATTGTGTTGCCATGGCAACGGCATTTGAAGAAATCTCAAAACTGTCACGTAGATGTCTTCACGGCTGGACTGTTAGCACACATGTGAAGTTTGAGCACTTTTTCATAGGAGTTATAGCAATATCGTGTTTTATGGCGAGGGATGGGAACAGCTTTTGAGGAAAACTCACTATTGGCACATAGACATTTTGAGGGCTGGACCATTAACCATTATCTGAAGTCTGGTGCTGTTTTGACCCTTTTCATAGGCGTTAGGACAACATTGTGTTTTTTGGCGAGGGATGCGTTTCCATGGAAACGGCATATGGTGAGATGTCAGATTTGAGGTAGAGCTGTGCACAGCATTCGCACTAAATATTCCTTTTAGATGTTCCAAATGAAGTCTTATTCTGAAAGTAGTAGTGTATGATTAAAACAAATAGAACGCCAACATTAGCCCTTATTTGGGTTATAGGATAATTATTCAAGCATGTATACCAGCATATTTGGAATATGCGTCTACATTTTGTCTATACCGCAGTTTGCAACACACACAGTTTTGTGCATTGAACACAAACTAACTAGTGTTCAACACTAGCGTACAGCATGCATGCAGAAAAGAAAACATTTCTAGTCAGAAAGACTTAAATATCACCAGGTTTATGGATTTGCACAAATATTACAACGCAAACTTTTTTGAGAAGGTAGTTGGGGAAAGAATGAAGGAGGATGTGTAAACGGGAATATAAGAGAAGTCATTATCCATGTTAACAGGTAAATAGCCTTGGCAGGCAGACAGACCTGTAATAGGGATGAGAACCCACGGGATCTTGTCCTGTTCCTCCTCTTCCTCTTCATATCCCCCTGCCCTCTTCCCGAGCCCCCCTCCTCTTCCTGCTGCTCCATGGTGATTCCCCTCCCCGCTGTGGGAGCCGGGACTGAATCCCTCCGAACTACTGATGCTGACGATTGTCTGCTCCTTCACACACACACACAGAAACAAAAATGCGCATTAACCTTACTTGCTCCTTTTTAATTTACTTAACTTTTGATCTACTATTGAAGATAGTGTAGAACAATTAATAGGTAAAAATTGCCTGAATAAGTTCAATTGGAGTTTAAAAACATCAATAATATCAATTAAAATACAATTCAGCCGTTTCTATTGAAATGCCATATAAACTCTAGAGAAAGAGTTGCCTGTAAAACATGCATGTATACTGTAACAAACTGTGCCTTGTTATAATTAATTTACACATTCATTTTTTTATGTACAATTTTTGTCATTGAGGTTCTTCTTAAAATGTGTGACATGGGCATATGTTCAAAAATCTTTGTTTTAAAGATTGATGAAGCCTAATGGTTTTTGAATTGTATGTATTCATTTATTTTATACACAGAATGAGGATTGTGCTTTATCTACTATATTGAGAGTAGATGAAGGAATCATTTCACCACTGCTGTGGTATTTATGAGCATTATGTATAGCTTATGTATTATGATAACCTTTTTAAATAATCCTTAAATATCATTTTGGTGCCAACATCATTTACCTTTCGTTAAAAAAAAGGTGTTTGAAAGAGGTATTTCTATGTAAGAATGACAACATATTAAAGGTCCCATGTCATGCTTTTCCAGTTATTACCGTTCCCCTTGTGTGTTATGAAGGTTTTTATGCATGTAAATGGTGTGCAGAGTCAAAACCCTCAAAGTATACCCTGTAGCAAGTAAAACTCTAACACAGAAAATACCTCCCCAAAACGCCTCGTTAGGAGATACGTCATTGTCCATTTGATTCTTCCGGGTACGCATGATGTCATCCGTACCCGGAACGAAATGGACCAATCCGTGGAGCCGTTACGTTACGTCCGCGGAGCCGTTACGTTAAGCCCCCGCTGATTGGTCCAAATTGACCAATCCACGGACTTCCTCACACACTCGGTGCAGGCAGCTCTGCTGATTTCTCCTCCCCGGCTGCAGGCTGATGACAGACAGTTGGGATTCTCTCTGCAGACCCATTCTCACAGCGTTTATCAACCTTTTTCTTACTCAATATCAAGCCACACTTATTGTTTTTACTTCGGCTGTGACTTTGTGTGTGCTCAGGATGAGTTTGGCTGTGTTTCGCTGTGTATCGCTAAACAAGGAAATCACACCTCCACGGAGCTCAGCGCGATTCACAACGTCCCGACCAATCAGAGCACACTGGGCTCACAGGGAGGGGGGGGCAAGAGCTGCAACGAGCCGTTTAGTGGAGAAAGTGAATACTGCTGAATACACATACTTTACAGAGATGCTGTATGCGAAACCAATGTGAGTTTGGAAAATTGCGCAGTATAAATCTATTCTAGTAGACCTCAACAATGGAATTATGATCAGTGGAAATGGCCATGACATGGGACCTTTAAAATCTATATGTGGCTTCTTTTTTTGAAAAACAGTAATCTTTAAACTGTTACCTCCAGCTCCTCCTGATCCCTCAGGTCGATGTCACAGTTGGTGGGCAGACCCAGTTTGGTGGCCAGCCTATCAAAGGGCCAGGATGTCTTCTGCACCACCTCTTGTACTTCACTCTGATTGGATGTTCCTCTTGCTGCCTGTGTGAGGCCTGTATGTTGGAAAGGATCAATCATTTAAAAAAAGTATTGAATTTCATCAGGAGTTTTCAAAATGTTGTTAGCGTAACATTATGCACTGATTGCAATTTCTTTGGCCAATTCCGATTTTAGTTTTTCAATGCAACTGTACTTTAAGAGGAGAATCTGAGAAAAGATTAATCTATAATGTCTTTGTAGGCCTATTATAGGGAGTTCATTATTTATTTTCCATGTAAAACTACATATTTCGCCAATCATTTATTCAATCAAAACTATATATTTACAAGAAAGCTAAGGTGTGTGGAATATATTATCTATAAATATATGAACTATATTAATCTAACTGTATTATATTCACTCGCCAGAGAGAAGATATCCTGCAATTACTAAGAGCCACAAGCTTAGCAATGAATTACAACATCATTGTCTGAATAAGTTATTAAAATATTGATAACTGTTATTCAGAAAGAAAAAAATGGGCTGAAGACGTTTATAAAAGGTTACACATTTAAATGAGGAAGTCTCAAACTTCGCAACACTAAGTGTGTGTCAGCGTGCCAATAGTGGGTTAATGTGTGTGCGTTTGGTTATTTAGGACGGGAAACTTCATACATGTCATATCATATCAGCATGAGCACGAGTCCATCCTATGCCAGATTTAACCACTGTACAAGCTAATATTCTTCTGCAGTCCTTGATTGGTTGACGGCCATAAAAAGAAAACACAAAGCTTAGTGAAGAGCATGCGTTTAAATTTGAGCGGCAGAGATTTTGTAAAATCTGATGTGGTCATGGGAAATCAAGCTGAACGTTTATTGATTAATCTATAATCATAAACATGTATGCTAACTCGTGTTTAGATGCAACTTGAACAACTTAAGGAAACGGTCAAATAAATGTATAAGGATAAAAAAGAAAAGGATATAAATAAAATATGATATGCTGGAAAAAGTTGTAATGTATATGTAGAAGAAGAAAGTCCCAGAATCCAGTCACCTTTTAACAGAGAGAGTAGTCTAGTAGCTAATTCAGATCCATCTTCCCTCAGATCCACGTCCATCAAACCAACCGAACCAATCAGAGAACCAAGAGAGCCAGGGGGAGCGGGAATATGGCTTCCCTCAACTAGGAGCCCAGAGTGGGGAGGAAACATTAAACACAGTAAGCAGTAAGACATTTGCGGAAAGCAGAAATTCATAGAACGCATAAAGAACAGTGAATACTATGTCCTGTCAAGTAGTTAGATGTTCCCTCAGGATAATAAAAAGCTAGTTTTAAAGAAACCTCCTGTCTCCTCACCGGGAAACTTGCTGTGTCTTCCGGGTTCCTGTGATGCCTTCAGGAACTTTAGTGTCCTCTCTGCCGTCTCCTGTTCCATTTTCCTCTTCCTCCCGTGTACCTTCACGCCTCCTTCTCCTCCCTCCTTTCTCACCACAGTCTCTGCTTTTCTCTTGCAGGTCAGAACCAGGTCGACCAGCTGCTGCATCTGAGTGGCAAAGAAATCACGTGTTCAGTTCAATACTATAAAGGCCAACATGACACAAATAAATATATAACAATAGAATTAAGGGTTTCTAATTAGTGTCTATTATGTCATACTAACAACATATTAGTAAAGAATTGTCAACAAATGAATTCAAAAGCACGGACAAAAAGGTACTAAATGTTCACTATTTGTGTGAAAATATATTAAATATAAATGGTATGGTTAAAAAAGGGAAAACAAATTATATAAAAAGGTTCAGGCAACACAGGTGGGAGAGTAGTTAGTGTATATGGTCTTATACGGTACTGAGTCTGGCTCTGTGCAGGTGTCTTTTGTTTTAGACCAAATGTCAGTTTTCACCTTCTGAGTGTTGGTCTGTCCCTCTCGAGAGTTGCTGGTCGCCTCCTTCCCCATCACCTCTCTGTGGCCTCCTAGGCTCCTCCTGAGATTGGCCTCCTGAGACTCCTCGGGGCCGCAGTGCGCCTCCACCATCTGTTTAGCCCGGGCCACAGACAGCAGGTGCAGGGCGGGGGTGTACAGGTAGGAGCGCAGGTAGCCCTCCATGTTCACCCGGTGTTGTTTGGGAGCAGGAAACAGCTTCATGCACTCATCCAGTTTGGAGTCGTACTCGCCCATCGGGTACTGTCGAACCTGGAGGGCAAAGAGAGAAATATGTGCTTTATTTGAAGGGAAAATAAGATAAAGTATTTACTTAAGGCGAGACACGGCAGGCAAAAACATCGTTTTTCAAGTACTGGTCAATTTTGAGCTATTTTGATTCTATAACATGTTTTCTTTCAGGCTTTTGGAAGGAAAACGTACAAAATACACATTTAAGTATTTATTTTACTATAGTTTGTCTATTTGCGTCTGTAGATTTCTCCTAAATTCACCAAAAGTTAGCATTCTAACGTAACATAAAGTACCGCGACCGCTGTGTGCACCATGTCAACAGAGGTATCGCTGGAAAGCTCCGTCTCTCCTGCACAATCTCATCAGATCCAAATATGGTCATTTCCTTTGTATCAGCAACCAATCGTGAAAGCACAAAGGGGTCTTAAACCAAGAAACGAAATCTCATTGGCTGGTGTCAATTTCAGACAACGTGATTCGTTCAGATGTGTCACGTGGTGTGCTAAAACACTTCCTGGTTAGCTTTCCGCTAGAAATTGAAATCTCAAAATGGCAAAAGAACAGCGAAAAAAACGTTCACAGAGAAGACGACAACAAGTGTCACTTGCACGAAGCAAGGTTATACATACAAAAAACAAATGACCCCGAACATGAAATACCTTCACGGAGTGCGTCGATGCGCAAGCTGTCATCCAAAGAACAGGAGGGTTTAGCTTACGCCTCACTGCAATCTTTAAAGGTCGTTTTCTCAAAATGAGTTTTTTCTCCTACTCTGAGTTCGAAATGTCAACTTCAGTAGCACGTATATACACCAAACCTTCCAGTTATATTCCTATCAATATTATGAAGGCTTTTACAGAAGGGTTTGTTCATATATAATTCATAGCCTGAATTATACAACATTGTATACCTAAAAACATGGCGAAAATTGATATTTTAGGGCTGTTGACAATATTTTCTGATTTATGGAGTGATAAAAAGAGATATCCAATATCCCTTCTGTAAAAGCCTTAGATGCTAATATGACTACAAAATGAAACAAGAATTTTGAACCTGGCTTTATCCAAAGTTCAGATTTCGATTCCTGAAATGTGTTAATGTGCATATTTAATGAGATAATGGATAATTTGCATATTTAAACATGCTATTTCAGAAAACTTGTAATACAAAACAAAATTGCCTTATTGTAAGTAATTAACTGGAGAAATTTCTAGCTGATAAAGTTAAGTTAAAAAAAATTACCCTATTCACCTGGGGTGTCTCGCCTTAAATAACTAATGATACCTGTGTATTTCTGTAAAAAAACATTTTCGACAGGAGGGTAATACGTTTTTTTGTCTATTAGGAGAAGAGGGAGTGAAACCAGTTATGTAATGTTCACATATCTCTGTGAGCCGGAGAAGGAGAATATGGTGATAACTAGGGATGCACCGAATATTCGGCCACCGAAAATTATCGGCCGAAAATGGTTAAAAAGGCCCTTTCCGTCGAAAGGGTTTTAGCACCGAAAAAATATCACCGAATGTCAGAACAGGCTTACGTTGGTAACCTAACGTGTTGTTGTGATGACGTAATAAAGACGCGGCGACCATGCTCGCGGCTGGCTCACAGGGGGGGGGGGAACATTGACCTTTGTCATCGAGATTGCCCTGAGCCTTTAACAAATCGTATTAAATAATCTGATGACAGACTGTAAACAGAATAGCTGAAATTTTAACAAAATAAATAACTCAGTTATCTCTAATCATTAACCCATGTTTGTATCATGTAGTTAACTCCGTGTGTTGCTGCTAGCATACATAACACCTGACGTGGAAACGTTACTCGTGGATGGGGCTACAGAGCTGCTAGAAAGACGGTCGAACCCGGTACATTCCTCCGTCTGCATGCGGTGCACTTTTGCTAAATGTTTAGACAAATTGCTCGTGCTTACATGCTAAACTCTTATTGCACTTATGGTAACAAGTATTCTCCACATCGAGACGGGTAAAGTTTAACCACACCTCAGAGCGCGTTCTCTCCGCCATCTCCGCAGTGTGCTCCGCTGCATGTAGCAGCTGCGTGTGTGTAAACTGCCCCGCCCCCTCGCACACAGACGGGGAGAGAGATCTCGTCTGATCGAAAATACATCATAGACGCATTTGTTGTCTTTGCATATTAGAAACGAGTTGGCGACACTAAGACTGCGATATAATGTTTTTTAGCAATAATACATGACATATATAAATGTACTGTATGCATTCAAAAGTGCTGAATAAATGTTTTATGGACCCATAATAGTGATTATTATTTAAGTTAAGTTTTGCCATAATCATGTCTATTTCCATAATCAGGTAGCTGAACAACATTGGTAAAAAATGTATACATTATATATATATATTTCTATTAGGGCCGGGACTCGATTAAAAAAATTAATCTAATTAATTAGAGGCTTTGTAATTAATTAATCGAAATGAATCGCATTTTTAATCGCATATACATATTTGACCTAAGAACAGTGAGAAGCAATTTTTTTTTCACATGAATTTTAGTATACCATTAGGCGCATTCACACCGCAGTACTTTTCCCACAAAGGTTCATGAGAACTCTTTGAACCTGGGGGTGGATTAGGCCAATGAAGCCGCTGACGTCACTTCTTCTTCTTCTGCTTTGGGTTTACTGGCAGGCCGCAAACCACTTCACGGCGTATACTGCCGCCCAAAGTCCCCGGCCGGAAGTCCCCGGAGTTGGGGACTGGCTTCAGTAGAAGCTGCTGGGAGTCCCAGCAGCCTTCCGAGTAAATCGCCAGAACGCCGACACCTCCTCATCTCCACCGCTCCCATGTTTTATTTTGTGTTGCCATAAGTTAGTCTCTCTGCGTTTCTGCGCTGGGCTAATGCTAATAATGCTAATGCGAGGATAATAAAATGGCGGCTTCACAAAACTTTTTGGGAGTTTTACGGGGCGTGGTTTGCAATCCGCCCAGCCAATCAGAAATATAGCTCTTTTCTCACAAGAGAGCCGTACGAAAGTCCCTGCTCTCTAGCAGCTCTCTGCTCTCTAGCAGGGACTTTCGTGGGGGTAAAAAGGTTCTCATTAACTAATTTTAGAACCGGCTCTTTTTGGTGTGAACGCGATAAAAGAGGCTAACGTCCACGCTAGCTTCCACGCTAGCTGCTATATGTTTTGCATTGAGGTGATACTTGAGGCTTGATGTGCTGCGGTGATATGCGAATTCCGTTTTGCATAATTTGCACACAACCGTGCTCTTATCGACGCTTCCATCCGTCCGTTTTTTTAAAACAACATTTCCCACTTCACTGTGGTTTGTTGTTGTCTGAAGTCATGAACGTTAGTTGGTGCTCCAGTATAATCGGTACGCCTGAAACTCATCCAGTGAGAAACGTTCCGCGGTGCAAAAATAAGTGCGATTAAAATGCGTTAATTTTTTTAACGCGTTAATTTTTGTGTAATTAATTAATCTTAATTAACGCGTTAAAGTCCCGGCCCTAATATATATATATATATATATATATATATATATATATATATATATATATATATATTTCTATTAATCATTTTCGGCCTTTCGGCATTCGGTTTTCGGCCAACTGTTTCCTATTTTCGGTATCGGTTTCGGCCAAGAATTTCCCATTCGGTGCACCCCTAGTGATAACTGAGAAGTGTTCTGAAGTCAACGGAAAAATAAGTGAGAGGAGCCCCAGCAGACGAGTCAGATTTGTCTATAACTGATGATGCATACTAGTTTGGTGTTTTGTAATCAATGTGATCCAAAGTAAACCTATACAGATACAATTCTGATATCCGTCTCATTATTGTTTAAGCCTGTTTAATTGAAAAGTCAGTTAGGAATCTAAAACCAACTGGCACACTTGAAGATCTATTTATTATCTATTATTTGTCCATTAATACGTGTGCTATGTATACATTTTATTTAATATATTTTGTATATGATCATGATACTGGATGTTTGTAAGTATGCATTAATATTTGTTTAATCATTATTTTACTTTTTTTAAACAAATTAAATAATACAATTAATGTTACCTTCCCATCGGTCAGGCCGACGAGGTATTCCCGTGTGAGGTGCTCCACGCCTGCAGACAGCTCGGGGGGGTGGTTGGCGCGGGCCTTCACCAGAGCGTGGTGCAGTGCTGGAATAAACTGTGAGAGCCGTGGCATCACCGGGCTACCAGACTGTGATGCATTATGGGACGAGGAGGCACCCCTGAATGCTACAGGGAGGAAAGAAGAGAACATTTAGAGTTACATCAGAACTTCAGATTTGACCCACTGTTTAGCGTTTACGGTTTTATTCCTTTTTGCTTTTTTAAACTGGGTTTATAAATGTTGTTTATATCAGCCGGAGGTTAACTGACTTATATTGTGATAAAAAGGCTGTAGTTTATGGGGACAGTACAGCAGATTATTGGGAATTGTTGTTACAGTTGCTGTTAACTCAGGGAAACTAAACACTTTTTGCAGACTTTTGTAAAGTAAGGTATAAGCAGGAACACAAAGGTTCTGTATTGTAAAACAAAGCAGATCAGTTACTCACTGGATTTAGACAGATCTCTGGACTCTGGGAAGACAAACAACGCCTGGAGACTTCTCTTCCAGTTCTCTTCTCTCTCTGAAAAAAACAAAAAAATCATTGTTATTCCTATTCATACCTACAACCAAAAAATATATAACTTTCCTTGATACATTTGGCTCTAAACAATTAATTGACACACTTGACATTTATATTTTTGAAAGCTATGATTGTTAGGGATTAATTTTGTCTTTACTCCTAAACATTTAACCTTATTTTGTGTGTTGACATGTACGACCATCCCTGCTTCTAATCTCCCGTAAGGAATGTGTTGATGCAGTCGTATGTTGATACTAGGTTTTACAGCTTGACCTACAGGGCATAGGGAGGTTTTGCGAGTGTGAGAACGCTAGCTTCTAAGCTCCAGAGATGGGAGAGACATCTCCTGTGTCTGCAGATGTTTACGCCTATTCCCAATATGTAGATTTGACTCTCTGTAAACTAGTTAAAAGGTCTACCAAGATGCGAGGCTGATCAGATTTGACATGGTAAACCACCCGTGCAGTCAGAACCTTTGACTGTGTGACTTGTGATGTGAATTTCTCCGGCCGATGCTTGTATTAAATATCAGTGTTTGACATCAGAACTCCTGCTCGTCCTGTGTCTCCTTCATGAATCAGTGACTCCCAATGCATTGCTACACAGAAGTTTCCTCCACAATGATGATATAGTTTGAAGCCAAGCCGTTTAAAAAAAACAACATACCAATTCAAAGAAAATATAATCCCACAATGTTTTTGATGTTATATCAACCACATCTCTATCTGTATATATTTTTCTCATGCTTAATTAAATGTTACTGCAAAATGACTTTTTTTTTTAAATTAACGGTGTACTAGCAAGTGGAATAATAGACAACTTCTCCAATATTTTCACAACCTTATTTACAAGTTCACCAAACCACATCATACCTGGGGGCATGGCCATCTGAACACTGGATAACAGGAGGAGAAAGCCTCTGTCTGACAGTGCAGTCACCAGAACCTGAGGGGAAACGGACGACTGTCATTTAACAGTTATTCATTATTTCACTTTTTCTTTTAAAGCAGTTCTCCTTTAAATCACTTTTTTTCTAATTTATATATATTGAAAGTTTGGAGGTAATAATCCCCTGTGGAAGATTTACAAACATCAATATCTTTTGAGATTGTGACACGAGTTTAAAGAGGCCCTTTTATGCTTCTTGGCGTTTTCCTTTCCTGTAGTGTGTTATACCAGATCCTATTATTTCCCAAAGGTGTGGATTTCCTGTTAAAATAAAATAAAATAAAAAAGGTAGATAAAAACTCACCACTCTCTTTGTCTCCAGCTCCTGCAGCAGTCCGGTCACGCTGGTTGTAGACCGATTTCTGTCTGTCACCTCCAGAAGACTGCAGCAATGACCGCTATTCACAACTACACACACACAAAAAACACAATACTTTTGATGATACCAATATTACCTTTTTGTCTGTAGACTTGCAAAGAATAATTATTTCAATAATATTCTGCTTCAATCCATATTTGTTTGCATTTAGCTTTGAAAAACAACATTTTAAGTGCATGTAAAAATATTGTGACCTCTCACGTACATGCATTGAGGCACATACTGAGAAGTTAGAAAAAGTTGATTTAATTTAAAAGAAGTCTAAATTAATATGATACATCAAATTAAGGATTTTCTTAAGGTCATATGTCGTAAAATTAATGCTGTCAGAATTATCGCGTTAACGGCGGTAATGAATTTTTAGAATTAATTGCGTTAAAATATTTAACGCATTTAACGCATGTGCAGAATGGCCCGCCCCATACATCCCACCAGTGGCAGCGCCAGAGTATGGCTGGGGTAGGCTACACCCATACCAAGAAATGGCTTAGCCCCACCATGAAAAATGATGTTAAAGGAAGCAAAATAAAGTCCGCCAACTCGCGGAGTAAATTGCACAGACAGCAGTTAGTAAGATTGATTTCAGTAGCCACTTGTCTGGAAATACCAAAGACCAGAAACGGTTTTGAAAACTTTTGTCACGTAGTAATCGTCTTCTCAATAGAACATCTTTGATAATGTCTTCTGGCCAATCAGAATCAAGATAACGGCGTGGTGTTGTTGCAGGAAGTCCCGACGGAGAATACTTTTGCTGTAGTACAGGGGTGCACATAACATAACAGAGGTTATGTGCGTAATCTGAAATGCGTACCGTCACTTGTGTCACAAAGTGCATTTGCGTACGACAGAGTCGGTCTCCGTGTGCACAGACAGGGCTGCTGTTAACGTCGGTCTCTGTACAACGGAATTGTGCCAAAACTACGCCAACCGGCTGCGGAGGGAGACTCCCTCCCTTCACTGGAGAACTGCGCTAAAACAGCTGATTACAACTTTCCTGAAGTACTCCCCCGTTGATAGAAATCAACACGTAATTAATTAAGACCCCACGGTTTGATGATTGATAGGTGTGTGGGCTGTCTTTCATTTTGACACACAGAAATTTTTTATAATAAACATACATACTGTATGTTGTTAAATGGATATATCCGCCTTCTTTCATTTATCTCTCCATTCCCACAACAATATACATAAATAAATGGCATATTTTGGACATAGTTCGAATGGTGATTAATCATGATTAATTAATTTTTAAGCTGTGATTAATCTGATTAAAAATTGTAATCGTTTGACAGCCCTACGTAAAATATAATGACAGACATTCGATAACCTCAATAGAAGCTTTGATTGTAAAAAATATATGAAATTGGCTACAAAACTTGATAAATAGACACGACAGTGATGATTAAAAACAAATCTCAAAGGAATACATATTCTGCTGTCTTCTAATATTGTAAATGCAGGTTCAGGATTGATGATAACTTCAATTTGAAAAGTTTTAAGTGAAGTTCATCATGTGTTGCGATGTTGCGGGAGTCTGGGACTTCTAATGTTCATTGCCAAAACTACGGAGTATCCATTGTGCATATGACAAATAAATAGGGGTGTAACGGTATACGTACCCGTAGCGAAATTATTCGATACGGGCCCTTCGGTTCGGTACACGTGTGTACACGTGTGTACATGTGTGTACCGAACGAATATAACGTTAAACGTAAAAAATTGAGAACGTGAACAAATTTTTGGAAGTAATCTCAGGTGCTGCGTCGCAGCGTTCAGTGTAATTTGCTCACATTGGGTTCAACACGTCATAGAGCGACCAAGTCATTTCATTGGACGAGAGAGCTGGTCACAGGGATGCGTTCAAATGTAGTCAGTAATTTGAGGAACTGTCGAAATGACGAACGCAGATCTAGTTGAGCTCGAATATCCTCCAGCATCATTGAAGTCTCCGGTTTGGGAAGATTTTGGTTTCGCAGTTACGTACAAGGATGACGGACAAAGACAAGTGGACCGAACCAAAGCTGTTTGTCGGCATTTTTCAACTAAAATTGGTTACGCGTCTGGCAATACATCAAACTTGCACACTCATTTGAAAAGGCATCACCCGAACGTTGAAGTATTAAAGTAACATGTTATAGCAGAAAGTTGTAGATTAGCGCAAATGGTCTTTTCTTCCACTTGACTTGTTAATAATCAGAAGGTGGTTTTTTGGCTATTTGTGAGTAGATAAGGTACAGTACAGCCTGTGATTTCTGCCTTGAGTAGAATGATTACCCGTTGATCAAGTATTTTTCAGAAAGTCATTTTGGGCTTTCAGGGGCAGAACTCAGTAGGTTGTCTGTAAGAGTTTTCTGTATGATCTGGAAAGCTTAAATTAATAGAAGGAGGAAATATTATGTCAATTCTTGGACCTTCTCAAATATAACCTACTTTAATTACAGTTTCCAGATATTTGAAGAAGCCATGGGATGATGTGAGTCACACAGAGAGACACTGGTCCTTCTGAGTTATCAATAGATGCATTCATTCTAAGTGAGCTGACTTCGAGGTTGAAGGAAGTTCAGAGAAGGCCTTAGGGCAGAGGTGCCCAGTACGTCGACCGCGGGGGCAATGCTGGTAGATCGCGAGTCATTCATAAAAAAAAAAAAAAAAATCCAGCTCCGTTAAAATAGACAAAACAGGTTTTGATCCCTCCTCCCTTGGCCTCCCTGCCACTTAAATCAGGAGTTTACTTGATTGACAGAAAAAGCGACCTATCGCTTTCCAGTCTGTTAACCCAGAATGCAAAGCGATACAAAATCAGTCAAGTGCCGGGAAAACTCAAATTAAGTTAGAGACAAACAACAAAATGAGTGCGGGACCGAGCAAAAAGCTAAAAACATACCACTTCCACCCAGAATGGGAGGAAGAATATTTGTTTGTGATGTCACATTCAAAGGTTATTATTTGTAAAGCAAGCGTCGCTCTGCCAAAGAAAGGTAACGTGGAGAGGCATTATCGGAGTGTTCACAAGGCATATGACAGCGACTTCCCTCCGAGTAGCGAGTTGAGAAAGAGAAAGGTCATGTATTATTGCTACACAAACATTATCTCGCAGTCTTAGTGTCGCCAACTCGTTTCTAACATGCAAAAAGACAAACAAATGCATCTATGGTCGGTGTATTTTCGACCTTTCCAATCCAGACGAGATCTCTCTCCCGTCTGTGTGCGAGGGGGCGGGGCAGTTTACACACACACGTGGCTGCTACATGCAGCAACACACACACACGGAGGAGATGGCAGAGAGAAGCGCTCCAAGGTGTGGTTAAATGTTACCCGTCTTGAGGTGGACAATGCTCCTTGCCAAGAGTGTTTAGCATGTAAGGGCGGTAACACGAGCAATTTGTCGAAACATTTAGCAAAAGTGCACCACATTCAGACGGAGGAATGCACCGGGTTCGACTGTCTTTCTAGTAGCTCGGTAGCCCCCCCATCCACGAGTAACGTTTCCACGTCAGGTGTTATGTATGCTAGCAGCAACACACGGAGTTAACTACATTATACAAACATGGGTTAATGATTAGCGGTAACAGAGTTACTCTTTATTTTGTTAAAGTTTCAGCTATTCTGTTTACAGTTCTGTCATCACATTATTTAATATGATTTGTTAAAGCATTGTTGTTTCTTTTGGTGTGAAATATATATTATTTTTTTTGCAGGTCACCCTTGAAAAAGAGATCTTTTGATCTCAAGGGGCTTTCACCTGGTTAAATAAAGGCTACAAACAAACAAACAATTTATTTTATTTAAATAAAAAGCAATGTTAATTTTGTTCACAATTTGTTAAGTTAATTTAATTTAATAATATATGTATTTTTGAATCAAGTATTCATCTTATTGTCTTCATTGTTAGTTTCCACATGCCTAAAACAACCTCAAGCTAAATCTAAAAGTTGATTGCTAAATAAGAGCGTTTGAGAAATTGTGCAAGGCACAGTAATAGTCCGAATAGTCGATTCATCGTTTCATTAATCGATTATCAAATTAGTCGTTTGTTGCAGCCCTATTGTAGTTATCCCATGTATAAATAAAACGTGTTATTCAGCAACCCTTGCAATTTGGGATTTTATTTTTGGTTGGTAGACCTCGGTGAGCTGGTCATTTCAAAAGTAGCTCACCAGCCAAAAAAGTGTGGGCACCCCTGCCTTAGGGTATGGGAACAGTTAACCTTTGTTAGTTAACTGATCCTAAATATGTCATAAGACAAGGACGTTTAAACCTATAACAAGCATAGCTTTCAGAGAGGAAAGCAGGTGACATTTGTGTGGGGGGCTGCATGATGAAATGAGGGTGAAATTAGGGAAACATTTAAGAAACAAATACATAAACAAAGGTGTTTTCAATGTTCTATTTCAACAGACACTTTAACCCAGATCCCATTGTCCTTCACCGAGTGCTTTTAAGAGCACAAGAGCCGAAGCTCCTTTTTTTGTGAGACAGTCAGCAAGCTGAGATTTTGTGTCTGACCAACGCACCTGCTTGATCCTCTTGCTCTGAATGAGCTCCTTAATGCTACTGATTTCCAACCTGAGTCTCTTCTCTGTGACTTGTTTTGTGGACTTGAGCGCATCGAACAGAGAGTGGTTATCAGTCACACAGAGTACAGGGGGTGCATTCAGTCCAGCATTTCCAGTAGTGAGCTCAGAAAATAGTGTGGCTAGAAAAATTGCATTGTCTACCCCATCTGACATGGCAAGAGTTTCCCCTGCAAGGGTACTGCGAACCACTCGTCTGATTTTCTTAGTACGACATGAAACTTCCCTCTTTCTCCCATAAGTGTTATAAAAGCACCTCCCTGTGTACCTCCGTCTGGGAGGTTTCCAAATGAAGCATCACTGAAAACTATCAAGTTCAAAGCATCACTGTTTCCCAGATGTTGAAATCTGAGTGTCACCTTTTCAGACTTTAGCTTACGGATTATCTTATTAGCATCATGAACAGACTGTACTGTTGCCCCTTTTATATTAGAAGCCAAACAACATGAATCAAA